GAGTTCTAAAATTCCTCTGAGCAGGCATGCTGGAATCTACGCTTTTATCAGATATGATGGAAATTATTTGATGACATTGGCTCCATGCTGAGGAAGGCACTTTTGTCCTCTGGAGGTTTTCTTCTTCTCATGAGCCTCCCCTGGAATGGGCTATATGTCCTCTTCTGCAGCAATGCAATCTAGGCTGCTCTTGCTGCTTCTGTATTGTTTTAAGATTTTGAAACACTCACAAGTTTTCATAGTCTGAGCTTACGGTTTCTTAGGCAAAACAACTCCACCAAATATTTAGAAGGCTTCTAATTTGTTTCCATCAACTCCCTTGGTATTAACTCTATTCAAAGTTATTTTACCTGACTTAATGCTCAAGTCAATCTTGTTTATTTGCCTCCTTGACCCCATTTCTCTTTTCTTAAATGTACTGCTACTGTCCAATTGTCTTTGAAAAAATATGAATAGAAAGGGTGCATTTTTAAAAATCTCATCTTTATTGCAAAAAGTAATCTCAATGGATCTTTGTTTCTCTTGGTCATGTCTCTTTGTCTTGGGATTTAGATGTAGCCAACTTTTCCCATCAAATCTGTGTACTCTGTTCCTCTTCATTCCATCTGCAAATTGGCCATTTGCTTTATGAACTCATCAACACATTGCCAAAGAAAGTCAGTAGTAGCCAATGCTAACCAAATCTCTGCATATTTTTGATTATTTTTTGTATAATTACAAGCTTATTGGGAAAATAATATGCTTTTCAAATAGCAGATAATAATTTTACTGAATGTTTTAGCACAGCATAACATTCAGGAAGGTGCAGGGGGAAAGTGGAACAGGAAGCATCTTGATATTCAATGATGCAGGGAGCTCTCGACTCCAAAAACACATAAGCCAATAGTATCACTACTTTAAAAAATTCATAGTGCAGGAACACTGGGTGGGGGTGAGGAGAATTATCCCACTACCTAAGATACTAATAAAAAGGATCATGGTAACTTCTAGGCCAGGATTTTAGATAGGAAACTTCTGAGGGGTTTTGTTGGTTCCTGTGTGACCAAGATCAGTAAGACAAGAGTTATACAGTTATTAGCATAGGGAATATCAGGTCAGTTTTCCCTAATATTCAGTTACTTTCATACTAGTGTCTTTACTTTTATCATAATCTCATATACCTACACTGTAATATTTAATATAATTTTGTAAAAAAAATTTTTTCCAAAAACCACAATTCTATATTTACCAAACTAGAGTATCTTGGTAGTGTTATCACACACGGCTTTTTTCCACCCTTCCTTATAGCACATGAGCTCTACCAGATCAGAGATCTTTGTAATTGTTCGCTGATATGTTCCAGGATTCTAGAACATGATCTGATATGTTGCAGGCACTTAATAATCAGTGGAATGAATGATTGGAACAGGTTCCTTTTTCTAGAGCTGAAGAATTCTCAAATTTTTCCACTGCCACCAACAATCCATTGTAACTGCAAGATTGTGCCATCTTGAGGATATATTCCAGCAGGGAGTTTCCAAGACATGTCATCACCAGAGGCTCCCTGATTTATCATTTCAAATGACTTGTATTTAGCTTGAGAAATGATCCTGCTCATTCTTGGGATATTCCACTTCCCTCTACATAAGACTGCTGTCTCCTACATGACTGTACATGAGTTCATGAGATTCATGTCTATGTTAGAGCAATAAGACTATGTTTGACATCTGAAAAAAAATGTTTGATACTTTTGTGGTTTTTCTCATTTGACTGGGAAAAGATTATATAATATGGTTTTGCTTTGGTTTATAGTACATTATTTTGAAATCTTCATGAAGAAAGTTAAGCAGATGACATTGAAATGAAAGAGAATAAAAAGAAGAGAGTTCCCATTTGAGAAAAATTCCTCCACGTTGGTTCCAAAGAAGAGTGAACTAAAATGTGGCCATTTTCCCTGAGAAGCAGTTGCCTCATTACCAGAGGCTCTTTAGTTAAGATAAAATACATGGGAAATAAGAAAAAGAAAAAATATTGTGATCAAAATATGAAGTAGTTGTTCTGTCTTCCTTAAGTTTTTTTCTTAATTCACCCAGTATTTTTTGTTGCATGAGAAAAGGTGCATTTCATTTGAATAATGTCATACAACAAGGCAGTCTTTGTAGTATAATACAAATTTCTGGTAAAGAAAAATGCTGGGCAACCTCCTTGGGTTCCCTCCCACTGTGGGAGCTTTTCTCAATAAATCCTGCTTTCTCAAAAATAAATAAATAAATAAATAAAAATGCTAAATAGGAAGCAGCCCAATGTCATAATGATGGCATTAGGAGATGAAAAACTATCTTCACAGTTTGGACAAGTACTGCTCTATCTTGTCAAATGAACTTTTTCCTCTTTCCCTAAAGGAGAGAACTTCTATTAACATAGTCACTTTCCTCTTTTAGATGTTGCTAAGTAAAAAGAAACAAAGAAGTAGCTTTGTCAGCCACTTCTGTAATCTTACCTACATATCCTGTGACATGTCCTTCTGGTGTCTGGAGACATGGTCTTCAAATGCCCAGCACCTCGCATGTTTCCACAAAGCCCACCTCACCACTGTCTACCACTACACCATCTCCCCCCAGTGTCTACCTCTTCAATAACCACCTAGACAGTGCCTGCCCAAGACTTCTCCTTTGAAGCCTCATTTGGACAGCAGCAGCCTATTCTCCAAAGCTACAACAGCCTCAGAAGATGGCAGGGCTAAAACAATGCAAAGACAGATGTATGCCTCTTCAAAGCCTATCATGGTGAAAGGTGGCCTCTTCACCAAGCTTCAGCCCTGATCTTTCTGGGATGAAACTTAACAGAGGAAGTTTCTTTCCTGAGTTTATTTTCATGCAAAATTCCAGAAATAATCTGTATCAATAGGCTCCTGCACAAAACCATTTAGACTAACAAAGGTGGGCAGAGAGAATTTATAAGAATATCCAAGAAGTACCAACTACAGTTAATGAGCAAGTCCAAGAAATGTCAGGCTTTGCTATGAAAAAATTAGCAGCATCCTCTCATCCTGAGGATAGCTCTGTGAAAGTCAGAGACATGTGAGGAGATGTTAGTTGCAACCAGCAGCCACATGGCTTCCCAGCAAATCCATGGCAGATTCAGCACTACTCGTGGAGGAAATGCACTCCCCTGTATAGTAGAAAAAGCCTCTGACACAATTATTCAGTGTACTTTGTACAAAAGCAGAAGGGTAAAAGGAGAAATTTCAGCTAGAATTAGAACAGTGCCAACTGAGGGAAAAGAAACACAAGTCAGGCAGAAGCATCAAGCCAAAGCTTAGAGAGAATACTGAGTGAAAGTCCCCTACACACCAAAGGATGTGAGTCCAAGAAAGACATGAGAGGCTGAGGCCCAGCCTCAGAGCTGAGATTCTGGTCAGCAAGATTCTTAGCCTGGTGGCATAGAGGACCAAGAAGCAGGAGACTTGTTGCCTTAAGTCTGAGAATCCCACCATATCGGCAACCACTGTCTGGGTGGTTATTGAAGAGGTAGACACTGGGGGGAGATGGTGTAGTGGTAGACAGTGGTGAGGTGGGCTTGGAATTTCCCTAGTAGAGTCTACAGGAAGGGTATTGGAGGAGAGGCTTGAACCCAAGCTGAGAAGAGAGCTAAACTGATGAAAGAGGCCTTGAACTTAGGCATGGTAGCAGCACCGGCTCCAGCCCAGGAGAGATGACTACTAAAACTCTAGCAAAGAGAGATCAAATCGGTGGAAAAAGTAACAGAAACATCTGCCTCTTGCAGAACCCCTCCTGCTCTTCTCAGCTCATACCATGAAGCCTATCACAAGGAAGTATTTCCCTTATAAGAACAGTTCTCAAAGAAGTCTCTGGTGTCTCTTTGCAAATAATCTCATTCATCCATCTATCCATCCATCCATCTATCCATCCATCCATCCATCCATCCATCCATCCATCCATCCATCCATCCATCCTTTTCTATACTTGCCAGTTCTCTGAGTATGACTAGGAGGCACCATGTATGACTAGGAAGTCTCAGTGAGAGGAGCCTCTGGTGGTGGCTAATTGATGCTGGGCTCAAGGTCATGTGAAGTGACACAGATGTGGAGCCAGCAGGTGTTCCACATCTTTATATGAACAGAATAATGAAGGAGAGACCATCCAAACACCTAATTTTGAAGTCTCTAAAGACTTCACTTGTGACAGGTTTTGTATTGCAGGCAGTCCTGAATTAGTGACCTCAGTTTCTTCCTGAACAGAATGAACTTTGACAGAAAGGCTCAGGGAATGTTAGCCCTCATGTTGCTTTGTTGGCTACAGAGAAGGGATCCCTATGAAATGCAGAGTCTTCAGGGCCTATTGTCAAATTAGATGGTAGAGGGATGGGATAGAAGGGTCAGATTTCTCCAGAGCTACTGAATGTGACTGTCCTTCCTTGTTCAGGGCTCCTCTTCATTGATTGAGGTCTCCTTGCCCTATCTGCTGTTGTCCTTTCTCCGAAAGAAGGCTTTTTACAGCCATTCTTTAGCACACTGAGTATTGAACAGAATTATTACTTTTTTTCCACCTGTGACAATTTAGTCACCATGCCCTCAATCTCCCAGAAGACCCAGGAACATCTATTGTTATATTCACATCTACTTCAAATATTAAGCAGCCCAGCAAATCTCATCTGTGCTAAGGATTAGGACCTTCCAGAAAATAGAATTTTTTCTGGTTCTGGCAGTCCTAGAACTTCTTCTTTCTCTCTCTTTTAGCCTGTACCACCTTTCCTGTATCTGAATGCAAAGAGTGTTCTGTGAGGATAAGGCACAGGTGACATCCTTGTCAGACAGCAAGTGCCACAAGTTTCGTGACAAAGGCTGAGTCAACAGGTGGATGAGGGAATTGGAGTGAATCATGTCTGACAGGTAAGAAATGAAGACACAGCAGCCCAAAAAGATCTCATTTCCTTGAGGCAGGTCTTGTTCCCTGCATAAAAAGCCAGCTGACTGGGAGCACCACACCAGATTCGAGTGGCCATACAGACTGTTCCTCTCTGCACAACAGGTGAGCCTCTTTTCTTAGAACTTTTATCATGCATTCTAGGTATCTGATTTCTTATTACAGCCTCCTTGGAATTTGTGGTGCATTTTTGCCTTATTATTGAAATTTAGTCTTAGCCATGCAGACGTTTCAATCAAGTTATAACTTCCAGGAATATGCTTGTCTTTTTAGAAAAAAAATTTCATTTTAGATTCAAGGGATACATTTGCATGTTTGTTACATAAGTATATTTCAGGATGATGAGATTTGGGCTTCTATTGAACCCATCACCCAAATAGTGAGCATGGTACCCAGCAGATCATTTTTTAACCTTCCCCCCTTTCCTCCTTTAGGAATCTCCAGTGTCTGCTGTTCCCATTTTTATGTCCGTGTGTTCTAGTGTTTACCTCTCACTTACAAGTGAGAATGTTCTGTGTTCGATTTTCTGTTTCTGTGGTAATTTGCTGAGAATAATGGCCTCCAGTTGCATCCATGTTGCTGCAATGGACATTATTTCATTCTAGTGTGGGTTGTAGGGACTTTAGACATTACTGGTTCTGTCCCATTCACTCTTTCTGTGTCAGCAATAAGGGGATTGGCTTGTACAAAGATTCAGAATAAGTTAGTAACAGGATAAGGAAGCTTCATTTTCACTAGCATTTTAATTCCTTTTTATTCATAATTTTAATACAGATGATTTTATTCTTTCAACAAGTATTTTTGTGAGAATTTACTATATTTGGCATGTTGGCTACTAAGAAATAATTTAGGCAGTAGGAAATGTACTCCATGAAACTAAAACTTATTCAGGAGAATAGGAGCTAAAATACAATGTAGTAAGTTATCAGTGCTAGGTGATAAGGACAAGTGCTGTAGCAGTTTGGGGAAACAGAGGTGCTTTCTGTAGGACTTGCTCTAGAAAAGCCACCAGAATTCCCATATAAAGTGATCTGTGCTGGTTGGTTAGTACTTGGACAAGCAGGAAAGAGGAAAACATTCAAGACAGAGGAGTGTATGAGCCAGGCCAGAGGTGGGATTGTGTGGGGTTCTAGAGGGGTAAGTTGTCCTACAGGTGAAAAACCATGCTATTTGTCAGAAAGAAGTGGGTGGATTGAATTTGCTGGAATTTTTCCCAAATAACATATTTTCAAGTGATGCAATACTATGAGTCTCATTTTCCTGCTAGGAGCCCGCTGCTGTGCTGCTAATTGGGTTTTAAGATATGTAGGAAGAAAGAGAGCACTGGGAGAGACCCTGCTCAAGTGGAGAGGGACAAATCACCTTTAAGTTTCTCCTCCTTAAAGACTCAGAAATCATCAAAGTATTCTTTGTGGTAGAGAGGGAGAAAGAATATTTGCTTCTGAAGAGATCTGAAGTGGCATTGAGCATGACTTTTTCTATAGTTATTCCCTGTTTAAATCATCTGTTCTGTCTCTAGGACCAGCCAGCTTTGAAGCATGAGTTCCCAGCAGCAGAAGCAGCCCTGCATCCCACCTCCTCAGCTTCAGCAACAGCAGGTGAAGCAGCCTTGCCAGCCTCCACCCCAGGAGCCATGTGTCCCCAAGGTGCCTGAGCCCTGCCACCCCAAGGTGCCTGAGCCCTGCCACCCCAAGGTGCCTGAGCCTTGCCACCCCAAGGTACCTGAGCCCTGCCACCCCAAGGTACCTGAGCCCTGTCACCCCAAGATGCCTGAGCCCTGCCACCCCAAGGTTCCTGAGCCCTGCCACCCCAAGATGCCTGAGCCCTGCCACCCCAAGGTACCTGAGCCCTGCCACCCAAAAGTACCTGAGCCCTGCCACCCCAAGATGCCTGAGCCCTGCCACCCCAAGATGCCTGAGCCCTGCCACCCCAAGATGCCCGAGCCTTGCATCTCAACGGTCACTTCAGCACCAGCCCAGCAGAAGACCAAGCAGAAGTAATGTGGCCATGCCCATGAGAAACCAACCACCAGATGTTGAACACCCTCTCCTATTCTGAGTCCTAATTTGCCTTGCAATTAGCCTGCTGTCACCCAAAAGCATGCTCTGAAGTTTTCCTACACTCCAAGCCTCTGAATTAGGCTGAAGGTCTTAGTACCAGAGCTAGTTTTTCGCTGCTGAGAGCTTGTCTGAAGAGGGACTTAAGGTGAAGACAAGTGATTCAGCTCTATTATGCCCCCATTAAATTTACTTTCAGTTTGACTCTTGACTGTGTGTCTTTGACTGAACAAGTTCTTTCCTTTCCCTCTTGAAGCAGGAGTTGTACACAGAGATGGGTTGGTGAAGAAGGGCTTTGTCCAAAAGCATCTGGTCCTCATACCAGGTGGGTGGGCAGAGGGCAGGTCCCACTAAGCATTCCTGGTCTGCCAACAGGAAGTTATGCAATGCCACCCAGAGGCTGTTACTTTGCCATCCAGGGCTGGAGCAGTGCGCTTGTTCTGCAATGGAGTGAGTCATGCCAGAGTTTAGTTAGCACCTGTCTAAGTTGAATCTGCCTCACTAATCCTGAATGCCCTGTCCCCAAATCTGGCTTCCAGATTGCTAACTTATTCAGTCAATTCCTGTTTACTTCAAGAAATGTTTTTCCTATACATGCGAATCTGCTTCTTCTCATTTCTTCCTGATACACACAACTCAGATTTCCAAATGCATCCAAAGACTCACAGACTCTGCTTTGTATCTCAGTCATTTCCCATCTCCGAATGCCCACTCTGGACCAGAAAGGGAGTAAGGAGTATTTACGGTGCTTGCTGGGGGCACTTACAGTGTCCTAGAGACACTGTACTTTTTACTCCCTATCCACTCCGTGTTCAAACACACATATATACATATACACTAATACACACTTGATCTGGAGTTCTCACAGAGTAACACACCAAAGTTGATTCAGGTTGAAGACTGTTTTGTTTTGTTTTTTACACATAGTGAGGTGAGAACCACAGGTGGCAAGAACTGTGAAACCCACCTACACTCAACTTTCTAGAATATCAAAATGTTTTGAGTAAAATAATACATGATAGAATTATCAACAGTGGATTAAAAATGTATGTATATATTTATATTTATTTTAAAAGAATATTACTTCCCTATGTTACTGGGAGATGAAACAAATTGTTCTGCAGCAGTATAAAAGGCATACGAGGTCTATTTTAAAAATGTTTACCCCAAAAGTCTTATTACACTAAGAGTTTTCTTAATTTCTATTTTAAAGATGTGGGGCACAATTCAAGGTTAGGTATACGAATGGTCATTGTACAGGTAAAGTTTGGGCCTCACTTTGGTCCCCACTTCACGTGGTTTTTGTTCACACTAAGGACTGTTTAATCTAATTGATAGATAAAACCTATTGTCACATCCAACTATACAGTGTCTTTTAGTACCAGAACAAATTAATCAAACAGAAAAATAAGACATGTCACAATCATACTATTATTTTATTAGTCAGTATGGGTTAGCTACTATGACAAGCACCCTCTATGTTGCAGTGACACTGATGGGATGATTCTCTGGGTCCCAACCATTGCCTGCTGTTGCTGGTGGTGGCTGTGAGACAGCCCCCAAACCCACAGGTGGTTCTTCCAAGTAGATGCCCGCTGTGGTAGTTGTGGCTGGTGGGTAGGCTCAACCTCAGGACCCTAGGAGGAGTGTTCAGGAAGCAACACTGGTGGACTGGGCTGAGCAATCCTCTGGGCCCCTATACTTTGTACCCCAGCTTGGAGTGGAGGGGGATGAAGCCAGCTCAAGCAGCCTTGTCCTCAGGCTTCCAGATGGTATGTGCAGGTGCTACTCATGTAGGCAGAGGAATGGCAATCCCCAGGCCACTGGCAGAATGCTCGTATTGGGGTGGCAGTGGCCATGCTGCTACCCTGTCACTGAGGAAGGTTAAGTCACCACTACAGGCAGCAGTCTAAGCTGGAAGGTGGGGAATACATGTGCCACTTGCACCTCAGCCCCTTCTACAGGAACTGGTACCCTGCTCTCTAGTGCCTCAAGTACAATACCCCACAGTTGCTTGCACCTATGCCCCAGGAGAAGCAGCCTGCTCTTCTTTTATGCTTCAGCCCTGATGCCCCTGAGCTCCAGAACAATGTGCAGTTTTTTGGGAATAGGACTCTAAAATGGCACCTTGCTGTAGATCTCAGGGAGTGTAGGGACTCAGCACAATCTCTCTCCTTGAAGCAGTGTCATTGCAAAATCCTCTGGCAGCTCCCTATGTTAAGTTAGGGGCATGCAAGGGTCAGGGGGCTCTCCTGTGTTTAAAACTTCAAGAGTCTAAAATGGGAACGTGGACTATTGAGGGTATCTCACTTACCCTTCCCTGATACCTGGGAGTCTCTGGCTCCCAGTCAATTCCAACCAAACAGACTGCCTAGCTTCCTTCTTCTTCTTCTTTTTTTTTTTTTTTTTTGAGTCGGAATCTCACTCTTTTCACAGGCTGGAGTGCAGTGGCAAGCTCACAGCCACCCCAGCATCGACCTGCTGGGTGGCTCAGGCGATCCTTCCACCTCAGCCTTCCAAGTAGCTGGAACTATAGGTGCACGCTACAACGCCTGGCTAATTTTTTTTATTTATTACAGAGATGAAGTCTTGTCAAGTTGCCCAGGCTGTTCTCAGTCCTTCTCTTTCTTGCTTTAGGTACTTCCTATCACTTTTCTGTTAAATTCTAGTGTTCTCTCTGGAAGATCTATTTGAAGTATGATTATTCACTAATTTGCTTCTTCTTAGTGGAGGAAGCAAGTAGAAAACATCTCAAATCAGCCATATTGAAGCCCTGCTCTTTCAACACTTTGAATATATCATCTTATTCTCTCCTAGTCAATCAGTTTTCAGCTGACAAATCTGCTAATAGTCTAATTATGAGGATTTCCTTCTACGTGACTTGGTGTTTTTCTCTTGCTGCTGTTATAATTCTCTGTCTTGGACTTTTGACAGTTTGATCATAATGTGCCTTGGAGTGGACCTCTCTGGTTTGACTCAATTTAGGAATCTTTTTTTTTTTGAGTTGGAGTCTCACTCCGTCACCCAGGCTGGAGTGCAGTGGCATACTCACGGCCACCCCAGCATCAACCTGCTGGACTCAGGCAATCCTTCCACCTCAGCCTTCCAAGTAGCTGGAACTACAGGCACATGCTACCACATCCCGCTAATTTTTTTATTTATTGTAGAGACGAGGCCTCACCAAGTTGCCCAGGCTGGTCTCAAAGCCCTAGACTCAGGCAGTCCTCTCACCTCAGCCTCCCAAACAGCTGAGCTAGTATTTTTTAAATTAGGTTTCTCCATCTCTTCATCTTTTGGAATTCCCATAATGTGAATATAGTTCCCTTAATGGTGTCTCATAAGTCCTATTGATTTTCTTTGTTCTTTTTATCCCCCTGTGGATTATTTCAAAAAACCTGTCTGCAAGTTTCAAAGTTTCTTCTTCTGCTTGATTTAGTCTACTTTTGAATTTCTCAATTGCCTTTTTAATTTAACTTCTTCAATTCTTCAGCTCCAATATTCTTGTTTTTAAATGATATCTATATTTTTGTTGAGTTTTTCATTCTGATCATAAATTGTTTTTCAGGTTTCATTGAATTGTCTATTTTATCTTGTATCTCACTAAGCTTCTTTAAAATCATTATTTTAAATTCTTGTTCAGGCATTTTGTAAGTTTCTTTTGGGCGGGGAGTGTCAGTTACTGTAAAATAGTGTTCCTTTGGTGATGTCATGTTTCCTTACTTTTTATACATTTGGGGTCCTTTTGTTGCTATCTGCACATCCTATAGAACAGTCACTTCTTACAATTTTTTGGAGTAACATTTGTAGGGCAAGATTTTCTTCTACTCATGTGTCCTAGGGCATTAGTTAGATATGAAGGATTGACTTTGGGTCTAATAGTATGCAGTAGTGCAGTCTCCAGGCAGTTTCTTCAGCTGTAATCAATGTCAGCAATGCCTGTGAGTGCTTCGGTGGCCTAGACTGCAGGAGTTTGTGACTGTAGTGGTACAGCTTCACTGGGGACAGGTGCTAGGCTTAACCTCAGCTTCTTCTATGTGCAGTGCCACCTGTCCCAAGGGCCAAAGTGCCACGTGGACTCAGTACCAGTGTCACAGTTGTTCCACTGGGACTAGGTTTAAAGTAGCTGGGAATGTGGTTCTGGAGTCATTTTTGAGAACATGGCACAATGACAGTGAAACCTCAAGAAGGAGAGATGCAGTGTCTACTGGCCCCCAGAGCAAGGCTCGCTTTTGCAGAGGTCCAGTTATAAGAGGGCACCATACAATAGCAGGTTGGGTCAGGGAGGATGGAAGTGTCACAACATGAGCTCCTTTTCTGGAGTGATGCAGTTGCATGAACTCCAGATAGTTCCCCTAAACTGTGCTCATAGCCTGTGTAAGCTGCAGAATTTTCCAGAAGCAAAGACTACAGATATCTGCAGCAGTAATAGGAGCTGACTGGGGCCGCCAGCTTACCTTTTTCTCACAAGAGGAAGTCGTTCTTAGTTCCAAATGGAGACAAGATCTTGGGGAGACAAGGTGGCAGCGCAGGACATTTTGTCGTCTTCTTTATGCTGCCATCCTACATTTCTGCGCTCCATAGGAGTTTTGCGATTTCCCTGCTGTAGTCCAGTGCTCTGCTGTAGAGACAATAGTCAAAATGCAACTGTTTATCGTTGAATTGGTTTGGGGGTCCTTTTTTTCCAGGAGTAATTTTGTTAATTTTATTCCTGAATGTTTTATTCTCTTTGATTCTATTATAAAATAAATAGTTTTCCTTTTATTTTCAAATTGCTCAATACTTGTTCATAGAAATACAATTGATTTATGCTTATTGATCTTGTATCCCATTATCTGGCTGAACTTGCTTGTTCTGATAGTGTGTGTGCATGAATTTCTTAGGATTTTCTATATACAGTCAGCCCTCCATATCCATGGTTTCCACATCTATGGATTCAACCGGTT